GTCTATAGCTTTATGGATTAGATTTTCGCACATTTAATTTTGAAATGGAGTTAATTTGGCAGATGGCTCGTACAAAGCAAACTGCTCGGAAGTCAACTGGTGGAAAGGCTCCCAGAAAGCAACTTGCTACCAAGGTTGCCTCCTGTACACATATTATCTTTTTTTCTCAACATGAATTTATATGTGAAAACTATTAATTTATGTTATAATGAAATGTTTGGTAAATGTAGGCTGCCCGTAAGTCTGCCCCTACTACAGGCGGTGTGAAGAAACCCCACCGTTATCGTCCTGGTACTGTTGCTCTACGGTGAGTACTCTTCTTGTGAAGAGATTTGTTTAGGTCAATTTATTGTTCTTTTATGTCCAGTTGTGATGTTTTATGAAAACATTTTTTGATGTGATGTAGTGAAATTCGTAAGTACCAGAAGAGTACTGAGCTCCTGATCAGGAAGCTTCCTTTTCAGAGGCTTGTGCGTGAGATTGCTCAGGACTTTAAGGTAAATAAATCATTGATGCAGAACCTTGCTCTTGCTATTTGATTGCTGTTGAAATAGTGGACACTATGATTTATTGATGGGACTTCTAATTTATTGATTTTTTCCGCGGTTCAGACTGATCTGCGTTTCCAAAGCCATGCTGTTTTAGCACTTCAGGAGGCTGCAGAGGCCTACCTTGTGGGCCTTTTTGAGGACACCAATCTGTGTGCTATTCACGCCAAGCGTGTGACGATAATGCCCAAGGACATTCAGCTGGCTCGCAGAATCAGGGGTGAGCGTGCTTAGATGATTTGATTCTCGGACAAGGTGTGTGGTGATGGTGTTTTTTAGTTTAGTTTGTTGTTAAGAAGCATAAAGATGCTAGACAGTATTAAGCTCAAATAGTTATTGTTAGTGCTGTTTATGGGTTGTAATGGTAGTGTTCCCTTTGGATGGAAACTATACTTTTCACAGCTATTACTCTATGGACTAGAATGTTTCCTTTGAACTGCTTTTGGTGAGGAATTTCCTATTTGCATCATATGTAGTGGATCTGTTTTCTAGTATATTGCTGTGGTGCAATTTATGTTTGCTGTTTGTTGTATATTTGCGAAGGTTTGATTAATAATTATAGGATTCTTTGATTGCTAATTGCCGGTGGCCAAATAACTGCTTTATTTGCAAATCCTTCTGGTCAAGTATTCAACTTAGGCATGACTGAATGGGAATCAAAGCCTTGATGGCATTTTCAGTGCAGTTTATAGGCATGTTTTCTATCTTATATTGAACTGCACTTTGTGGTAAGATTTTAACTTTTTCTTTTCCTTTGATTTGGACTGGTGCTCGGCAAATCAAAAATGTCTTCAGATCCATTGAACGTTGTGTCCTCTCATGTGTGGTTGCTGCAATGTATTTTCTCTATTAGCATTTAGATTGGTTACGAAAGTGCCTACTTATCTGAATGTGATTGTAAGTGGTATATTTATGGTTCAGCCTCTATATTTTGCGCCATGGAAGCTATAATTGAAGCTAGCTGATGTTGACCGAGAACCTACTTTTGTCATGTATGTATGCAAAGTTAAAGGTCTTTGGAATAAGCTGTTTGTACAGCACCAAAAGGTGGGACCCAAGGTCTTTAGGCTTGTCAGTTAGCAGTTTACTGGGATGTGCACAAGGCTATCAAGATTGGCAGGATGAATTAAAGGGTAGGTACTAGGTAATCTCACTTTACATTTATCTAAGGATGGGCTCGGCTCGTTAAAGTGCGAGCTGAGCTCAAGCTTGTTCAAG